TACCAATATTAGTACTAGGTAGATGTTCAATACACTGTTGGACAGCTAGCATCAAGTAGGATAAGGATGCTGAGTATCTAATGCTGTATCTAAAGAAAGCCCAAGGAATCTGGCATTAAAGTTAATACTATGTCCAAGTCAAGACTACTTCTATAATAGACTGTAACTCTGCCAATATTGACACCAGGTAGATGTTTAATATACTATTAAAAAGCTGGCATCAAGTAGGACCAGGATGCCATGTATCGGCTGCTATGGAGAAAGGAAATCCAAGGAATCTTATGTCAAAGTTAGGACATAATTAGTATCTTACTAATTGGTAAAGCAAGTAAAGAAACACCAAAGTCCAGAATACAGAAGAGGTAGTAGGAGGAAGCTGGTAGGGGGGAGGTGGTAACAAGGACTCTGGTAGGAAAAGAGCTGGTAGGAGGAGAGCTGGTAGGAGGGCACTGGCTGGGCAGTGGTAAGAGGAAAGCAGCTAGCAGTTATATTTATCACTCAGAATCTCAGAATGATAACTACTTAGTGTTACTTACTTAGGATACAATTTAGATATAGTACTTTCTAACCTAAGTTCCAGGATGCACAGGATGTAACCAGACTTGGCATCCAAGTACCAAATATACAGGATATATAAGATACAGAATTCTTCCTGCTTGCATCAGGATGCACTGCTTACACCTCCGATACAAAAATAATTTTTGCTGATATTGAGTCTCTACATTTTTCTACACTGTACGTATTACTCCAAATCACAATTTTAAAGTCTTCACTTGTCCAATCTTTATAAGTACTAGCTCATACAAGTCTTTTAGTCACATGTTCAGACTTGAGTTGAGGTCTTGATTTGGCTATCTATTTCTTCATACTGGTTCCAAGTAAAACACCTAGTACATATCTATACCAGAAGCCAGTTTCTGTTGTAGTGCAGTTGAATTTAGCAGCAGAGCATATTGTGTAACTTGAATACTGTTGCTAGTACAGACTCAAGAGTTAGGAACAACCAGGATGAGGAATATTATCCAGTAACATTTACTTACATACTCAGACCAGAAAGTACTTAACAGTAAACTAGGACTGACTAACCAAGGAAGCCACCTGAGCAATACTGCCTAAGCAGTAGAAAAATGCCAAGATTATTCTCTTTCCTATATCTGATATGTCTTATGGGTTCAAGAAGGGAAGACTGTCAACTATGTGGCACAGTCAAATGCAACAGTGGCTGTGCAAATAATTGCCAATACAATGAGTGATTGACTATAAAGAAGTATAACTATTATAAGAGATATTAATTATATACTATAGTTTAAGAGTCTGAAACTCTATGATGACTTCTATATATTTTGGTAACCTTCTCTCTAAAGTCTGGTGTACCATAAGTAATACCTTCACGGTATGCTCTCATCATTTTCTCAGTATGCGCCCAAAACTTCCAGATTAAAGTTGGTTTTACTGAATTCAGGCATTCAGGTCCCATTTTACGTAATGCACAGATATTGTATCCGCATTTTCGTTGTGCATAGCGCTTTGCAGCCCGCTAATAGTACTTAATAAAATTGAGTTCGCAGTGATACTTGGGGAAAAAACCAACAAGGTGTCCTTTTAAGTTCACCTCTTTCTCCAAGCAGCTTCTTTGTGCCTTAAAATCTGGCTCGTTAGCCATCAATGCTCTTGTACAACACGTGCCTCCATTGAGGCATGTTTTGTTCTTTTTTCCATCTGGTCTGTGGTATTGCACTCGCAATTTTGGTCTCCATAGGCCTCTCTCCTACAGTACCATTTGGAGTCTCTTTGATAAACTATCTGGCATTACCATTGGTTGAATCTTTTCTGTTAAAGAGTTTATACCAAGTCGAAGCTGTGCCTGACTTCCTCCTGGGTGTAGGTTCATCATACTTGCCCTTAAGGCATCCAGTGCATAGGCTGAATGACTTATAGCATTGTCAAACAGGAATAGAGCCTGGCAGTCAGGGAATGCAACTTCGAAGATGGGAATTGCCAGCTTTAGAACCTGCTCAACAAGTTGGTCACCATCCCACCATGTATCGCCACCATATTCAATTAAACAGGTGGCAAAATAGTCATCAAGGCGCTTTGGACTCTCCTCCAGGTTTCTATATTCTGGGTTGGGCTCAAGATGTTCACCTTCAAGAACTCTTAGGTACCCTCCTAGTGTAAGAAAATCTGATTCCATAATCCCCTTGCCATGGGATTTCTACTTGAGTAGAATATAATCATCTTTAATCCAAATCTTAGACCAGCCATCATTCACATTAAATGTAGTCTCATCATGAACAACCAACACAATGGACTTGACTCTAACTGGGAGATTTGGTGGAAATACCATTCGAAGCTCTTCATCCTCATGATTAGCAATCAGCTCCTAGCACACCATCTGATCTTCAAGTAGTTTCAAGGTAGGCAAGCAATGCTCCTGCCTATACTCAACAATGTCAGCCCACTCATGCCCATCCTTGTAAACTCCTTTCTTAATATCCTGTACTTTATACCCTATTTCCTGCAACCATTTTACAGCTGTGCGACTGCTCAAAGTCTTCTGTACCTGCTGTCTCTCTTCAGCCAATTGCGCAAGCCGGACTTCAGTTTCTAGTATATATCGTAATGGAGGTGTTTTCAATTCAGGCTGTTCTTCGAAGGGTAGTATTCCAGTCTACCAATAGGATGAAATAGCATAAGCAACACTTTGGCCTGTAATCCTCTCACCTGCACCAGTCAGATACTCTCATAAGGCTATCTTTGTTCCTTCATTATCAATCAATCGACAGAGCATAGGTGTTTTTCCCTGATTGGAGAGAGGAATATGGCAGTCCTTAATCCAACTCTTTTCATGTTGGATAATGCGATTTTGAACCCTTTCTCCATGTCCACTGGTTACGGTAACAATTGATGCAGCCTCTTTGTGATTTTGCTGCCAAAAGGGTTTCTGCAGTCTATATCTTTGGAATCGAAGAAACTCTAGAACTTAGAGATGGTGTACAAGATCTTGTCCTTTTGGCTTTCTTCTCTTTGAGTTTAATAGTCATCGTATATTATGAATTCCTAAATTATTTGTTAGCTATTTCAATATTCAAGATACCCAGAGTTTAAAAAACAATACCTTTTGTCAAGATTCAATACTTAAACCTTGTTGATTAATACTTGGTTAAGACTAGCCAGCATCCAACAGCTTCAGCCATATCATCCCTTTCCTCATTCACCTCCTCTTGACCTTCTTGCTCTACCTACTCCTGCTATCCAAACTCTGGCACTTCCTCTGCTACCCATTTCACATCTTCAACCACTCTCTCCTCCACCTCTTCTCCCCCAACTTCTGAATCCCTCATTCCTTTATCTTCCTCAATTCCCTCATCTCTTCCATCTCTTTCCACTTCAATGTTTGTTATCCTATCTCCCTTCACATCTGGACATTCCTCATCCTGGGATTTTCTTCAAGTTCCACCTTCCTGCCCTTGCAATTGAGCTTTCTTGTTTCTTCTCCAAATTGTCTGCCAACATGGGGCTTTCCCCCCTCTTCCGCTACCACTAAGCCTTATATCTAATTCAATACAATTCCAATTATTACAAAATTAGTTTCAGGTCTAGCCAACTATTATAATTTAAAAAGCTTTAAGAAAACATACTAGAAAGAATAACTTACTCCTTTGTGACTTCTGGCTCTGGTCTCAAAGCTAGCTCTTCAAGCTGAACTGGATCAATACACTTTTTTGGTCTGCCACCACCAAGATGGCCTGCGAGGCGACTTTGTCATTTATGTCGTCCAATTCCAGCTATTAGGAAATTGTTTTTGTTTGTAGTATACTATATGAGTATAATATATCATGCTTCTCCATATAATTTACTTTAATTGACTTACATACTAAATTTATAATTACTCAGCAATTGTATATTGCATTTCAATGGCAAGCCTCAAATTTTATACCAAAAAGTTCATGTTTTCAATCAAGGATGCTACTCCTGATACTTGCTTCTACTAAATTAAAAAAATATACTTTTATTCTACATCACTTGCTCTATATTCCTACGCTTTTTTTCCCTAAGTGAGACTACTATTGGGTGGGTGATGTTTAATGGAAAACCCCCCGAAATGAGGTTGACGCTTATGCATTCTTGCACTATACCATGCTGTTTTTAGAACCCTTTTCCTTTTTACATATTTGGTACCTCCTAATCAATCAACTATAGTAGAAAGATAAAATAAAAAAGTAGTAAGGACTTATATTGGAAGTAGTTTCTTGATTGCAATCAGTTATGATGATACTATATTACAGGAAATACTTGCATATACTAGTCAACTTCAACTTACCATATAGTACTAGTTGATAGCAGGTGTATGACTAATATGAGACAGGTTTCATGAACACCTCTGTTGAGTTGCTATATATCTACACTATACAACAAGTATGGTCTAGAGCATATGATTTGAAAATTGAAAATAGATAGAATTACTAGCAGAGATTGAGAAATATTTTTATCATATCCTATATGTTGTTATAGTAGGCAACAAACGGCTCCATCTCAAGTTCAATCCAAATACCAGAAGAAGCAAGGATACTACCACTTATTAAATTAAACAAAGCTTGTAACCAACTCTGGAAATTAAGGACTGGTCAAGAGAACCAAAGGGATAAGAAGGAAGAGAAAACTTTTGAAAATATTATTGAAGTTTTTGAAAGTCATAGCAAGTAAGCAAGAAGATAAAGGGAGTGAGGCATCGTAATGGAAGAAATAGAGGGCACTGCAATTAGATATTGGGATCGGTAGTGAATAGAGTAGGTAGAGGGGACTCTACCGTGTAAAAACCGATGGTGCATGTTCACACTTCTCACTCGCCAGTTGGTCCTATTAAATAGTCCTTTTCTGTTAGATTGGTTTATGTGGGGTTTGTCTGTTGAAGCGGATTGGACAATGGCGTATCCGGAGGTATGATATCGCCCGCAGCAGGAGGGCAGGTTTAAAAGAGCCAACAAATTGGAACAAACAAAGATAGATAAAGTTCTTGATTTTTATTATCATTATGTTCCCAATTCTTGTTAAAACCTGTATGGGTCCTCGTGTCTTCCAATTCCGTCCATCATCTCTCCCATCCCATCCCATCCCTTCCATGGGAAAAGGTTGGATGCGGTATACACATAAAATCCTTAGCAATACATAAAAAAAGGAGCGAATAATTAGTAATGTCAATCAGACAGAAAAGGCTCTCCCTCAATGATTACAAAAAAAATGAGAAACGCTCAAAGGAAGAGAAGAAAAAAAACACCATGATAAGTGAATGAAAGAGAGAGAAAACAAGAGCTCCCGGTGTGCCACAACTTATTACACCTCCCCTAGAGAAATGCAACTCCGACAACAGCCACTACTCCAGCTATTCCCATTCCAGCAACGAGCCTGGAACCCGATGAACCAACGATGACACCAGAGTTGCCACCACCCGTATTCCCACCAGCTCCAACACTTGACTCGGCGTTTGACCTAGCTGTAGTGACGCTAATTCCGCTGTCGGGGGTGGAGGTAGCCCTCGTGAATGAAGTGGTTGACCTGCTGGAAAAAACCCTCCGGCTGCTACTACTACCAATGCCAATGTCAACCGAGTCAATAGATTCTCCACTGCCGGTCCCCACGCAAATTGAGGTGCTGGCGTCACAGGTTAATCCGATCGTGCAGCATCCAGTTCCACACCTGACGTCTATGGCAGAGCACTTGGCATCGCACTTATTGTTTGGCAAGCACTTGACGCCAGCAGGGCAGCACACATCGGTGCCAGCGCAGGGGGAGTAGCCAACAGGGCAGATCGAAGTCGGCACGGATGATGAACGGGCGGACGTCGCGGTAGGTACCGGTGAAACTCTGGTGCTCGATGATCCCGATAATCCGATGCCATAGTCACAGGCAGCACTCCCATCGGCATTGGAGGTGCAGATAGCATTCGAGGGACAGCACCCAGACCCGCATGCGGTCTCAGGGGTCTTGCAGCTACCGACGCCCGTGCATAACTTCCCAATAGGACAACATCCAGTCTGTCCGCCAAAAGTTCCACAAAAAGTGCCGACATTACCTACTCTCTGTCAATAATCACGCATCCTACCGCCCCGGATGAAAGCCCCGAAGAGCCTTGCTGACAAAAAAAAAACTTACAGCACCCCTGGAAAAAACAATTGATCTGTCCCACAGTCTCACACCCCCATTGTCTAGTCTCCAAACTCCTCTTCACGATTCCTTCCGGCACGCTAGCGTAGTAGATTGGCTCCTCCAAGTCTCTCCTTCGAAGAGCTGGCATGAGTTGTGCCGCATTAATGAATACATCCGGGATCGGGATTGCATCTCGACGGTCGACGGGCTTGGCTTTGGGCTTGAACTGATGGGATGCAGCTGCAACAGTGACAGAAGCTCCGAGCAGTACGAACCGAGTGACCTTCATAATTACGGATATGTTCGATGAGGATGGGTATATTAATGAGACTCTGTCTGGAAACAAACAAATGTACCAAAAGTGGGAAATGAAGGACTGAGCCTAATGTAACGTATGGGTGGTAGAATAAAGAGAGGTGAAAGAGGGGAAAAAAACTTTTCAAGCCACGAGAGCGAGGGGGGAATCAACTAAACTTATACCCCACCCACCCATATTCCCGGCGCGCCTGTTGTTATATCACTTACTCGCATATGATACTCCCTATCCTACCGCTCCCCAGAAGATGGAGGAGGGATGCTGTCTATCGCCAGAAAGGCGCCGTGCAGGGCTCATGCCGCAGAGCAAGGGATCGGTGGTCTCAGTCGCGCTAGCCTCCCCTTGCCCAATTTACCTTATTCGAGTACCGGTGGCTAGTAAATACGAGGTCCTGCTATCGTTAAAGGCAAGAAGTGCCCGAAAACGGGGGGACATCCTGTACTTGTACCAACGAACTTTACCCCCCCCCCCCCAGTTGGAGAATCGATCTAAGCCCCTGCCGTGGCGCGTCGAGAGAGAAAATTTTTTTGAGAGGGCGATTATGGTCCATGTCTCGGGGGACCTCTTGGCTGGGCGAATACTGTATTGCACCGGTACTACGGGTAGCACAGTGCTGTACTCGAGTAGCACCGTAGTAAATGTGCGGAGCCACCCTTGATATCAAGAAGCGAAAGCGCTCGACTGGTTGGCTCACCGCATCCTTACCATACTTGTATTAAATATGTATGGTGCGCACAGTCAGTCTTCCCCTTTCCTACCCCCCCACCCACTTCAGGAGCGTTTTGCATGCCATTTACTATTATTATACTAGAGTACAAGTAAAGTAGCGCACCCCGTTCACAAACATACACACCTGTCAAACACCTGTGGAGGCGGTGGTCGCGGCAGCACACCTCTAAGTTACAGCCTTCAACGCGGGGAGCAAAACGAACACATGCGGCTGATGAACGGCACGCAAAAAGGTAATTCTCGTTCTGATTCCTGTTTCTTCACTCACTCACCGGTATTCTTGGTGTCTCTGTCGAAGACTGCGCAGTAATTTACTCGAGCACGGCACTCACACAGGTATCAGGTATCATACCGTACCGTACACGTACCGTACTCGTACAGTGCAGGATGGGCAGAGCAACCTCGAGCCTTTGTTCCCTCCGCTCGTGTGCTGCTGTTGTGGAACACCAAACACCGCCTCATCATGGGCTCTGGAAATCAACCGGTATGATACTTGTACGAGTACTAGCACAAGTCCTGATAAAAAAGGAAAAAAAGAAAAAAAGACCTCCAAGGCGAACATTTTTGGCAGTACCGGTATTTCCCAATCGTCGAGGGCTTATGCTGCGAGTGACTCTCTTTATTGGTCTCCGGCATAACGTTCCACAAGGTCGAACAGGTATCCAAGGTAAGCCTAGCGCAAGGGTTTATCCAGCCAATGACATTGATCAATTTTTCTGCATTGCCACACAGGGTATGGAATGTCTTAGAGCATGGGGAGGCGCACAGCCTTTCGAGAAGCCTAACAATAACGTTTTCCCACATGAAGACGGAGGAGGGGGGAGGTGGAAGGAAACAAACGCCCTCCCTCTTTCTCCGAATTGACGATTCTTCCAAACGAGAGTCCGGGGAGTTTCCAGGCCGTTCGTGTGCTGCACTCCAATCTTTGACTACCTAGGAGGGTGTTTGTGCAACCCCAGCGCCAACAGAATTCCGACAGCGGCGGCGTCGAAACGGAGTGAGTAAGAAAGTACAAGTAACAAAGCCAAAAAACTGCACGTCAGGGATCCTGTTCAAACCTGTTTGGCCGTTCCGATGTATCGCTTTCTGTTCCTGCGGAGGAGTGACCAGCTGCCTTCTTTCTCTTTTTCTTTCTTTTTTTCTCTCCGACACAGCTTTTCATTATTGCCCTCGAGTGCGGAGGCGACTACCGGTACAATACAGCACAGCGGCTCCCCATACCGTAGCGGTGGTTCGAAGACTCTGCAGGAGTGGACTTTCTATATTACCGGGACCGCAAAAGTACCAGGCTGTATATGGCTACTCCGGCATTAAAGCACTTGGAATGGGATGGGTGAACCGCTTGCACGAGCACATACAATTCCAAGGACCCCTCCTTGCGAGCGCCTGGTTTACTCCGGTGTAACCGCCAGGATGACCCGAGTCATTAAGTATATCGTAAGAATTGTGCGGAAAATGCCTGGTCACAGATTCAGAAGGCGAGAGAATTCACAGTTACAGTACGGTACCGCGCTGGGTCCGGAGAATGTCAGATCGGGAGCGACACAGTTAGCCGTGAACCAGCGGAGATGCGAGGCGCCTGTAATTGCCGGGAGAGGTACTATACAAATACTCTAGTACAGGCCGCAGACTTTGTAGCACAGAAGCATCAGGTATCTGCACCGCAATACATGGAGTGCTCTACTTGTACCTGCGGAGCGCTATGTTACAGCAATATCCACCAGTATCTCCACTATCACGATACACCCATGCCTCCATCTCCTAAAGCCCGCAGTACCTCGATACCGATAGTGATAGCGATATCACCCTGAACTAACCCCTCCTCCAAACCAAACACCCATCCTCAACCGTGGTCACACAAAACTCTCTCCTTGTGGCATCCCCCACCCTTGGTCCGGGAACACCGAGATAAAAGTGCTGCCCAGGGATGGTCTTAGTGGCACGTGACCACATCCTAAGACAGGATCCTACAAGGCCCCCACCTGCAAAAGAGGAATAAAGCTAACATGAGTTACCCGTATCCTGATTAGCCGCGCTTGCAGAGCCCAGTACGGAGTAGGCCCCAATACTTTCACAAGTACTTGGTCAACCCGGTCTAGAAGGTTACAGCCAGTGCCGGATAGGTGAGGTGAAGGGAATGTGGTTGGTTAGTATATCCTGAAGTTACTGTGGCAGGACGAGTGCTCGTGGAGAATTCGCTTGACTTTTTCCACTCGCAGAACAGGGGCCGAGATTGGCCCCACCAAATTTTGGCCAGTGAAAAACCTTAACCTCCCCACCCATTGCTCGTCCCTAGTACTCGTACTCGAGTACGGTACAGCATTCCAGCAGGGTGTCGTGTTGGTGCCCCATTGTAACTTGTTTGGGGGCGTGGCACGCCGTGGGGCGAAACACATTTCCTTCGGGAGCTCGTCAGGGGAGGCGATGTTGGCGGAATAAACCCCCTAAACAGCAATACTTTGCTGAGTTGGATCACGAGACGACCACCTTAATTATACCGCATGAATAGTGTGAACACCGGTTTCCCACCCTCCGGCACGTTTGAGCGACGGACAACACCCACTCTATCGGTACAAGTATCCGGTACCGGTACGGGGCGCCCGAGCGTTTGAGGCTCCACTGGAAGAAATCCCGGTATTGGGATTTGAGTCAGAATTTTGTCTGGGCGTTTGGATGCGCTCAGATAAATTTCTATGCGGATGTTTTTCATCCCAATGCCCGGGAACTCGAGCACTCCTCGCAGAGCCGGTTGACCCCGATCTCGATGACCCGGATACCTCTCTGTCTCGTGGGAATCTCTGTGGGTTCTGGGTTCCCTTCGCGCCAAAACTTTACACCCCTTCCCCGGATCACTCGTCGGGCCCGTCCTCGGCTAGGTTACCGGTACTTGAACGTTGGGGGATGGCTTTATTTGCCCGGATACACACACATACCATACTTTTCGAGAACAAATTGCTCTCCAGTCTGGTGTGCAGTGCGTGAATTCTGGTTAAGCAGGGACGGATCAATGTGTCCGAGGAGCCTAGCCGAATCGGGTGTACATTTGCCCCGGCTGTCATTTCTACTACTTCGGAACCCACAATGCTACGAGTATCTGTCGTGCACCGGTAGGCTGGTCATCAATGCCGGTACTGTGTAATGCTCGAGTAGAGGTCATCTCTGTTGCTGGGAAGCAATACACCATGCCTTGGGGTCGGGCAGCAGGAAAGCGACGCACGGCCACAAGCACTGAGAGAGTACGAGTTATCGAACTTTGTGCGGGTGGTAAAAAGTTATTAGGCAATTGCCAGCGAAACGGCCAGTGGTTCAATTCTCTACCACTAGCGCGAAAGAAGCTTTGAACGAGCGCAATATCTGGCATTTAGCACGACTATCAGATTCACGTCCTTGCGCTACATTGGTTGATACCAGCAGCTGGTTCAAAGCTCAACCCTTGTACTATCGGTGAATACCTATGCTAAGCTAATCGTCCTGTTTTCTCGTCCATCGCAAACCATGGTTGGTGAGAGAATATAGAAAGAAGGGGGATAGATGGTGTAGAGAAAGGTGGCAGCGGAGGAGGGAAGCTTCTCAAAATTTGATATATATAAATGAGGTAAACCTTCAAGTGGAAGCTTGGCGACGAAAGGTGCGATGACAACCGCTCGCGGACCCGTGTATACCTAGAGACGGAGAATCTACAGCCTACTTTTGTCAGAGAACCAGTCTCTCTCGACTTCTAAGCTGCATCCTTGCATAGACACCGCACACCGTTGATTCCACTTTGCAAGCGTGCTGAAGAGGAGCCGAAAATACGGGACACAAACTCGGTTTCGATTCCGAGGGGCATGTCCAGACATTCCCACCCACACTTTCCTTTCAGTCAAAGGTGTGGAGGTCGTTAGAAGGGTGTTTAGACCATTGAAGATGGCGCTGGTCACAATCTACGGCCGCATTTATGTAACTGTTTTCGGATATGCCCGGGTATAGGAAGAAAGAGGGGGGGGGGGGGTAGCGAAGTCCTTCTAGGGACTGGGGCACTTGGAAGGGTACGGGAACTCAAGAATGCGGCTGTATCCGCACAGAGCTGTACTGTGCGCCCAACAGTGCCGTCTACAGCATGATATTCAGACAGTAATTTAGCCTGAATCCAATGGGGATTTGGTCACCGTTCAAGTGTAAGCACGGAAAGACAGTCAAGGAGTGCCAAATAGTGCCAAGGGATAGGGAGGAGACGATTGCTCTGGTACAGTACAGCGAACATGGAAAGGGCTTCCATGGAAGAGTGCTTACTACTATTACATAAATATAGCATGCATTAACGGATTGTAAGTTAGCTTGTATCCCAAGTGCATGAAAGCTACCCAACCGTAAAGCGTAACTTGTCCTCATTCACCTTTTTCCCATTTTCTTTGGAATCTACTAACCTAGCGACGGGAATGCAGTTTCAGCGACGGTTAACGTGACGCTGCTCATACCCGCCAAGAGCAGTATCGGGCTGCCGAGTACGGTAGCAAACGACCATTACGGTACCATACCGGTACTGGACTGCCACCAACCGCGCGAGTGATAATCGATGCGTCGGTGTGCTGAAGTCTCACGGGAACCCTGAACACGTGCGATGCCGTCAATTATTTCCCGGGAAAGCCACCATACCCTCCCCGAAGGAGTCCAGGAAAACTTCGAAGGAAGGATCCGAGGGGCGTGGGATCCCTACGGTGGATTAAGCACAGGGCTGAACGAAGCGTGCCCGGTGACACTCATTCACTCGCTCACGCACGCATCGTACCACTATATTTCATGATAATATTATGATGGCAAAAGCACCCACTCACTCACCCTCACCCCCCCCCCCGACAAGACCCCAAAATCCATGGTTTCCGAATACCGCTATAATTACTACCATCATTATTGATAGCAGAGCACAGTACAGGAATATAATCATAACCGCTCTCACTCACCCACCCGCGCCATAAAGCCCACCACGACACTCCCATTAACCAATGCCCCACCGATCCCACCGCGCAGAGAAAATAGACATCCTACGTGCTAGAACTTATCCATGCGTAAGCTTTATATCATACACCTCCACCTCACCTCACCCCTCACCCGGCCAAGCATGATCCAATGATAAAACCATCACACTTTCAGGATCCAATCACCGTAGGACCATCCTGAATTCCATTGTGCTTCTCAATTTTTTTTTATTTTATTGCTTTGACTTGTCGACCAGGTATTCTGCTATGAAACATGTGATTGAACTCCCCTGATATCTTGTCATACAAATATGGTAAAGTTATATCGATTAGTAGGGGGAGAATTGTCTTATCATAGGACACCTGATTTTCTAGTTCCTTTGATGGGAGCTGTGTTATTGGGAGGAGGGGGTTTCTTTGAGCTTGGAATGGAAAGCGTGGTGATATGGGTACTGCTCTGTATAATACTAGTGCTCCGCCTTGGTATGATTTAATATCAAGGATAGGTGTTCCGTTACTTGGGTTGCACGCTGGATGCGATCGGAGTGCTGGTACGGGTTGAGGTGTTGTAATGGGATCACGATAATTGCATCCCCCACCTCTCTCCCTCTCTCCCTCTTTTTCTTTCTCTCCCTACTTAACTACTGACATGGGCTTATCTTTCTTATCGTGGGCTTTCCTCCTTCAGTCTGGTGTGGTATGATCACAATTCAGATATTTGAAAAGCCACTTTTCGTGTGATATGGGAAAAATTAGTTGGTCCGGTTTTTGTATACATCTTTTAAATTCTTGACTCCCTTTTTTTTTTCCTTTTGAAATTCCCCACTGGAACTTAACTTTATGTAAAGCTATCCACCCAAAGTATCCTATACTACAAAGACAAATATAATTGAGCCATAAGGCGGGAGAAAATATAAGAGGAAACTCCTCCCAAAAAAAACCTCCCCATTAAAAATAATCTGTACAACGCACCTGCTGCAAAAAAGGACGGGAAAAAACCAAGACGATTCAAAACCCGTGAATATATACATAATTATAAAACAGCCCCCCAGGATTAAACATATCACACCAAGAGAAAGGCATACTTGTAAAAGATGCCAAACACAAAACACATGAAGCGCCCACCATTATAAACCAACGCCAACCCAGAAATTCAAACAAAATCAAGTCGCAAACCACCAACCAAAGTCAAAAATGTAACAGCAAATACGCCAACGCCCTTCCCTCTCCCACTACTATACTACCCATCATCAACTATCCTACCACCCCTCGGTGTTCCCAAATTCCTCATATCCCCGCCCTCCCACTCCTCCATTTCCTCAACGACCAATCTTCGCTCATCCACGACGAGCCCAATCTCCCTGATAAATTCCTGGGTGATAGACAAAGGCCTACTCTCCCGCTTCCTAACCACGTGGGTCATTCCCAGGGCCTCTCCCGCGCCCGCAGGCATCACCACGGTTTCGTCTGGTTGGTTGTGGTTGTGGTGATGATGGATGCATAAGCTTGTCTTGCTAGTGCCGAACACGCTCCCGCCTCTTGCTCCTGCACTGGTATGGCCCCGTGCAGAGGTAGCTTCGCAGTATTCCAGGTCGAAGGTGTTGGTCTGCGAGCTGGTGTTTAGCTCCGCGATGTGTTTCAGGTCCCCAGGCGGGAAGGTTGGGGTGGGTACTGGTGATAAGTGGTGGTGGAGACGAATATGGCTGTGGGATTTGGCGCATTTCAGCTTCGGGAAGAGGCGGGTTAGGACTGCTTTGTAGGTGGGTAGACAAGCGCAGATCATCGCCACGCTCGATTCTAGGGATGTTAGGGTTCCGGAGATGCTGTCATTGTCTGGATTCTGTTAAAATTGTCTGGGGGAGGGAGGGAGAGGGGGGGGTGATATACAAGTTCTATCATAGCCGGCTTGCGGGCTCTTCGCATTAAACCCCATCCTTATGATACTGATAACGCATGCGCTGCTTTTTATTGTTCGCTTATAGTCAATATTAGTCCATCCCCCCAGCCCCTTCCGCCCCCTCTCTTTCAAAGACAAACAGTAAGGACAACCAACAAACTAGCAAGAGAAAATATCCCCACAACCCATAATTTCTGCCTCCTAGCCACTGGCACCCCCCACATCATCCAGACGGGGAGAGACAGCAGGACCAAGTCCACGAATACGTTCCCCGCGCAATTGTACCAGGTGAAAACAACCACGGACAGCCGGCACTCCCCCACGTTGGCGGGAAGGCTCACATCGTAGGCCTTGTTTATAGGATCGCACTGGAAGATCCAGACGAGGATTTGCGCGAGGTAGTTTAGGAAAATGAAGACCAGGAAGACGTAGTTCACGCGTCGGAAGGCCTGGTCGACTGATATGCGGAGGTACAGGAATAGGAGGGAGGTCTTTACAAGGCAGAACTCGATGTTTATGGGGATGACAGTCAGGTAGATTAGCTGCAGAATACGGGTCAGCCTTAGCGATGGCGAAGGGAGGGGAGCGGAGGACCCTCGTATACGTCAGGAAACCTTCCTCTGGGACGTATTCCCTGTGTGAACCGCCGCCGAGTTGGATCGCTGCACCGAGACCACCGGTCAATTCACGGCCAAGCAGAGCAGCTAAACGCAGAACAAACCGGCAAGAAACATTCCAGTCCGTACAGCCATCAACAGCTACGGTAACCCTCCCATTTCAATCAATATCAACCTATAGAAACGGCCAGACCATCACACATACCCAAGCAATCAAAATAAAAGCTATCCCCAAAAGTCAGCAAATGGTCGGGGAAAGGAGGGGAAAGAAGAAGAAAGAACCCACTGTCATCATGCCCAAAATGCTTCGTAATCCTGCATCTGGAGTAAACCCTGAGCCCAATGGCAAACGAGCTGAGGACGAGCAAACAAATCTGCAACGCCACCATCGACGGCGCCTTACTATCGGGCCCGTACCCAACAACCATCGTGAAGGTGTCAATGTAGCACGAGCACTAGTGCAGTACAGGGCATTCCCAACTCCGTGGATTGGGATCTGGGGGGGAGCAAGGGGAGGGGGGTACAAGTACGGTAGAAGTAGGAGCTGGGATGCGGACATTGTTTGCCATACCACTCTTATTGACACCACAGTATTAGAATTACGGGATGGCTCCTGGGCATGAGGATTTTTTTTCATCAAGATCAGCAGGTAGGCAGGAGTGGAGTGGAGGAAGTTCCAGTATGATACAGTGCAACTCACGAACCCCCCACGTATCACACCTGCACTCGTACCCATAAACGAGAGCATAAACGACGGACAAGGCAAATCTAGCCTGCCGTCCGCACCGCCTCGAAGACCTCCATCACCAGAGAGAGAGGGAGAAGGGAAAAAGAAAAAAAAAGGGTGGTACGAGCCGCACCCAACCCACCGCGGCGGTAACGACACAGACAATCCAACCATTCGGGACCCGTGCACGCCCAGCGAGCGGGGTGGGGGTTAATTTCCACTGCCATTGGTTGGATGATTGAAACGGGAGGGCGGAGTGGCGGTGTGAACGGGCCTTTTCTTGGTTCGAGTGTTGCGGGATCGGGATGGAATGGAATGGGGGATTGGAGATGGGAGGGGGGGAAGCTTTGGTCGGCCGCGGGTACTGAGGATTCCGACGTCGGATTAGGGTGGTTGCCGGGGCCGTGCGAGGAGTGGGTCGAAGGAGAGAATACAAGTATTACTCGTATACGGGGAGTGGGTCGAAGGAGAGAGAATACGGGGCTGGCACTTGCAATCCGTTGAAGAAGGGTGATGGTCATGTTATCTCACTCGAGTTCGTGTCAAAGTCCAGACCTCGGTATCGGTACAAGTATACTGGTATCATAGTAGTAGTACCGTATTAACTCAGCTTACGGCAACCACAGTACTGTACTCGTACTCGTACAATACTCTGCCGTACTTGGCATCTCGTAAAGTGCGAGTACTCGTACCGTTGTTCGGACGATTTGGCGCCAAGACAAGTACTGATCAAGGCTGAGGTGGTCCGGATACTTTACAAATTGCCAAGTGCTATGCGCCCAACCGACCCACATCACTGAAACTGGAACACCTCCAAATTCAATACAAGTACCGATATCTACTACGGTAGTACATGTACGGTAGGCTACCAATACGGCACTTTGCCAGCCCCACTCCTCCCATCCCTCCCACCAGATCACCCTCCCCGAAATCCCAAACCAAAGTGCCCCCACAACAACGCCCCCAGTCAATCCCTCAACCTCCACCAGCCAAACCTCTCGGTTCCCACCATCGGTTCGGGTAAGGCATATCGGGATCCTAACCTACTCGAGCAAGTTTTGTCTGCTCAATTCTCCCATCGTCATAGTGCACGGTGGCCCGGCGAGTGTTTGCCCGACTTGACTCGAGATCTCCAGCGTGGTGGGTTGAAATGATATCATTTTGCGGTGAAGAAAGGAAGGCGTGGGGAGAGTGAAATTTATTTTGTGTGCCTGGGAGGGGTGGAGGGAAATTCCGCTGTGGAGTAAAGTAGGCTGATATGGACAACACATAGAGGAAATGAAAGGAGAACAGAGAAAGGCTTGATTGTCTGCTTGCTTGCTTGGAGAGTGAATGTGGTGGACGGGATGTTTTGGTCCCGGGCGTCGATCGGGGCGCTGTTTATCGGATGCCGGTACTGGAGCACCGGGATCTGTCCTGTGCTCGGGTAGGGAACCGTAGGTCTCGCAGCAAGCTTCGGCACCGCAATTCGGTATAGTTTAGTATCATATCATAGCACGCTCAAATATCGGCGAGAAAATTCGGATACTCCGGCTGAACCTCAGGTCCTAGCCCCCAGGGATGGGCCCACGGACTACCCTCCCGACATTGCCCGACCTGCACCACCACAAAGCCACACGGGATCACGCTCCCTATCGCCTCCAATTAATCCACGCAGCCCCGAAAACCACCACGCCCAACGCCCATCCCGCATCCCTCACCAGCCCCACTATACCTCTGCCCCCGTCACTGGTGCTCTGCACAAACCCACCAACCCCGTTCCCCCCCCCACTAGCCACTACCCCGCCTTCACTCCCTTCCGCTATCTGCCCAACACTTTGGTTTCCACCAGAACTAGGGCTCGGGGCAGTGGTGTTCCCAGCGACCGCCACGCCCCGACACTCGGTCCTGAACTTGCAGCAGGCGACGGCGCCGGCGTCATCGCGCCCGCATGTGTAGTCGACCGGACAGCAAACGGAGGGTTCGGAGATTGTGGCGCAGGAGAGGTGGTCTGGTGGGCAGTTTTCGTCGGCTCGGGAGGCAGTGGTTCGGTAGATGTGGAGGAGAAGGGCGGTTAGCAGGAGGTGGAGGAGGAGGAAGCGTTGGGAAGGCATTGCTTGTCTGTTTGACTATAGGCGTACAGAGGTAGAAGGAGGGGGGAGGGGTTGGTGCTGGTGGGATTATATTCCGTGGTCCTGAGGCAAAGGTGGGGAGAAACAGGTTTACATACGATACTGTAGACCTTCCTCAACGCGACGCGGGTGATACGCATAACAACTTGACCAATCCGCGCTATATCATCAACAGGATACACAATTACACATCCAGCCTACCTTCCTGCCCCTACGTTGTCACGCCTGCGTTGTTCAGCCCGCAGGCTGACCCATCCCCCATTGGCCAATCACAACCTTCCAACCCCGCCCAACCAATGAGATCCCACCTACCCGCCTTGTTCGCGCGCGCCGCTGGGTTTTCTTTTTTTGGATTTCACTGTTGTGGCTGCACTGTGGTAAAGTGCTGGCTCGTGAATTGGCGGATTCACTGCCAATGGATGCCGTTTTGGATTGGGGTGCGGAAACGTTGAGATATGGGCCTTCGGTTCTAAGTTTTGGGAGGTTCTCTGTGTACTCGTATGATGTGCCGAGTTGGCTGGCATGTGGTTTTTTCTTTTCTTTTCTTTTTTTGAAAATAGAATGAAGAGTAAGGAACTTGGAAATGGGGAGGTGGTTGGGGGCGTTGGCTGTGAAGTCTCGGGGTAGATTGCGCATGACTTCGTGTCTGGCAGGGATTCCTTTCTAGTATTCTCTATGATCACTAATACCTATTCGGAAGTTCTGCTGCTGCTGCTGCCCACTCTCTAGAGTTCTACTAAAAATTTCAGATTAAATTTCCACTGGCTAGCGCGCTGATTCGCTGCGGGTGTGCCTGCGGCAAAAACATCTCCGATAGACCCAGACCCAGGTTTTCCACTCCCGAGTGATACCCCGTGACGACAACAATTAGCCTGCTGTCATATTGGTGTCTGCTGAACCCCCCAACTTCTTCCGGTAATTTGGAGAAATTAACAACTGGGCCAGTGCAACATCCGGCCTCTCAAGAATCGCATAAAAAAACCACCTGACCGCAACCAACGGTAATCAGCTAGGTGGGGAATTAGTAAATAGGTCGGAAGAGGCGATGCATGCGAGAAGAGGAAAGGAAGGGTGCAAAAAAACGGTGCGACAGATTCGTGCAAAGACGCTGTAAGCGCTGAAATAGCTAATCATAAAAAACCACGTACATCGCCAGGGAAGGGCGGAGGAGGGGGCGCTACAGAGCACGGGCACTATATACCGACCCCATCCCCTCTCGGTCCTCTGGATCTTGCGCTCTCTGGGGAATCTTGGAAGATGTTCCTTTTGACCCTTCCATTTCTGGTTCCTCAATCACTTCTTCCGCGTAGCGTTTTCCACCACCGATAGGAACTATGGATCCCCGCTGGCCTCGAGAGGATTCAAAAGGGTTGATGGGAGAACCTTCTGGATTCGCAATGTCACTGCAGGATAGAATGTCGAGGATGGCGGATGAGTAGGAGCCGGTGGTTTTCCAGGCCTCGGTGGTGGTATCTCGACGTTTATGCAAGAAGTATGATAGAGGGAGGAAAGCCAGGGTTAGGCCATCGCTTAACCTAGCCCCTAGGCCTATGACTTGGACAGGAGGCGTTATGGGGTTGGGCGAGGAAGGCGGGGTTCCAGGCTCTGGAGTGGGAAGCTCGAGGAGGGTTGTGTTTGGGGGAGGGTGGTGGAGAGGGTTCTGATATAGAAATGGGGCTTGGAAATGGTTCAGTGGTGGAGGTCTTGCTATCGAGCGAGGGTAGTCTTGAGCTTTGGAGTACCGAATCAGAGAGCTCAGAGGTTGGGGTGGTGACGCGGGGGTTCCGCCAATAGTTGGGTTCGGGGAGAGGGAGGGGGGTGGATCGATATTGAGGGACGGGGTGGGATCTTGAGTGTCTGTCGAAAGTTCCTCAGCTATCGGCGGGGTGATGGCTGTGAATAGTGGGTCGTTCGGGAGGATGTGAGGTGGTGATAAGGATTTTTCGTGGGAGCGGCGGTAGACGTCCGTCGAACAGTAGCAATTGGTGTTGTTTTGACTGGGGGGAGATAGGTGATGGGGTTGGGACGCGGGGGTGGTGGAGCAATAGATACCGATGTTGATATCAGTAGTGGTGAGGGCACCGTTGTAACGGTCCTTGGTATCGTCGCTGGCCGAATAATAACATAGCTCTGGGAGCTCGAGATGCAGTTGAAGGTTTGGCATCCCAGCATCCACCTTGTCCTTCATCCCGTTGATTCGGTCCCCATCTTCTTTATTGCTGCCCAGAATGTCGGGTGTATCAGGGATATTGGGAGTAGCTGGGCTATCTGGCGTATCTTTAGGTCTAGGAACTGGTATGCAATACGAGGTAAGTCGCCAGTTCAGCTTATGAGCGATGGGAATCTTACTCACTCTCGGTGCTACCCTCGGAATATTCAGAGCCAAGGCTAAAAGACATAGCACAATGTTGGTAGAAGTCTTGTTTGCAAGGGGTGATATCTCCCTCTTGGGATTCTCATGTTGGGTATTTAGAACAGGCATGTACTAGTACGTACCTACACCGCGCGGCTATAGGTCTTCATCCACTACTTTTGATCTTGTACTCAGTACTAGGCATCGGTTGACGGTCTTGAATGTTTCACAATAAAAAGCGGGTCTCCCCCGACACAAGGCCTGGTCCTACTATCCTCACTTAGTGCCATGGAAAACCGCTGCAGGTATCCCACCTTTGTGGTGTTAAGGTAGCAGAACCAAGGGAATAGGTGCAGGGCCCACGCAGTAAGTATGTATGCCTACGGAAGATGCGGATGAGGAGCTGTTGAAACTTGGATTGCCCATAAGTCTAAGTGAGGTAACTGTGGGACACAGTGAGGAATACAGCCCTTCTTCCTATGTGCAAACCCCAGGGACAGGCCGGTAAATAAAACGGGTGCTCCACCAGTGTAGTGTTTGTGTTGGATAATTTCGCGAGGGGTTCTTTTTTCCTTTAGGCGAGAGTCCCCATGTCCGAGCCAAGTCAGAACGACCGGCCCAAGTGGAATACCTATGTTCCACCTAATGGCTTATCCTTACTATCGTAGCGTCCCAGATGTCCAGCCTCGCCATCACAAGGGAGATTCCGGACCAACGGTGGCCGATGGCAATTACTACGCTATAGGCTAAGTTTAGTGGAGCTCCAACTCTCTGTAAATGATAGTAGAATTAATAAATACGGGGGCCTTGCGCTCGAAAAAAAAACCCCGACTGGGGTTTGAATCTCAGGTTGAAGCTGGTTCATGTGAATCCAGAGAAAACAGCTGGTATCAAGCTAAGTCCGGGTTTTTGATCTGTTTAGTCGCTGGAAGCTTTGAGAGGGGTATGCTCGGTGTGGGAAGATTAGTTAGCAGCTCACGATCCCTAATGGAAAATATCGACAATAGATACCCCTGTAGAGAGACGATGCTTGCTTTCAGAAACCTAGCGAGGTGAATTAACTTGTCAGTATGTGAATAGATTTGTCCTAGCGGGTAATTCCAGAAGGGAGGCTGAAGTGTTTCTGAAGGCTGTGTCCCCGATCACCGGTGGGGAATACAATCGTTTTTTTCCGGCTAAATCCTCCCCCGGAGTTCATCCTTCACTGGGGTCGTGAAGGCACAATACCGGCAGTCGTCAACAATGCTAAATCATTGCCCGGTTCCTGTCTTTTTTTGCCGGATAATTGGATGTGCGCCGCTCACGTGTTCTTGAGGAGATCTGGAGGGAAAAACTCGTCCTACGCACCCTCCCCCCTTTAAAAGAGAAGGGTATTTGGCTCTAGTAATATCAAAACCTGTACGTGCTTTGTCGGTATCTAGAGTGGAGCAGTAAAAAGGCCCCCACAGTTTCGATTCACCGAATCTGCTTTTGTGGAGGGGATGCAGGTCACAGGGTGGGAAGAGCGGCCAACACTTTTTAGACATAGCTGAGGGTAGTGAGGGGGCTAGAATAGTATTCGGGGGGGAGGGTGGAAGTCGTGGATGAGAGGTGCACTGTGATTGAAGAGATAATCAACTATTATATATACCGCCATAGTTTTTATAAAGGATGCTGACGACGTGCCGGCGGCCCTTGCATCGCCTATCATCATGGACTATGCCTGGTGCCCTCTAACAAACCCATTCCTAGCTAACGGAAGGGAGCAATATAAAGAACAGCTTGCACTACCTACTAGGCGAGTTCGGCAAAGAACAGTAGTGTCGTACCTAGGACTACAATTTAGACCGATTTTATTGGGATTGAATATGTTGAGGCCGCGCCCTCACTTTTTTCACTCGGAAAGATCAGAATGGGCCGCCTGATATTGAATAACACCATCGATTATAGAGTCGACCGTGAGTATCTACTTGATTCACAAGACGCCCCCCAGAGCTGCACAGGGATCCGTCGCCAGCTATCATACAAACCCCCACGAAAAATCGTTAACTTGTTGAACCGAAAACGCGCCAAGAGAAGGAGAGGAGGAAGAAAGCGGAAATCTGGGAACCCCATCTACCGGTCGGGGGAAATCCGGAGGAGCAGTAACTTCCCGGTAGACGTTCTCGACAGCGCAGCACCGGACGTTTTACCCTGTAAGGGATATCCGTCCCGTTTTTGGGCCAGATTCTTAAGTTCCATCTGCCCGAGAAATCTGCATTAAGGATCTTAAACAGGGTTCGCGAAGAGTAGTGCATGAAAGGATCCGCTTTTATGTCTGACCCACTGGCTTCTGGCCTGGTGCCTTGTTGTGATGTAATCTCCGATGTTGGGAATGGTTGCTCCTCAAGATTGCCATGGTTCCTGTTTTGGTGCATATCCAGCGAGAGAATGGGATGAGGTCTTTCCTAGCAGGCCTAATTAGGGGTCGGGCCCTCTTGGCATTGGACGGATCATTGGAGATGACAGCAAAACCTGAGTAGTATATTAGTCTTATGGCCTGCTGAGATTGAAGAGCGTGTTCAGTTTTCTTTTTACCTTCCAACGGCCATATTTCATAATATCCGACTCAACTCCGATTCCGAATGACAATCCATGACGAAACGGACAGCCAATGTGGGGTGTGGTGGGGTGTCGGTACAGTGCCGGTACACTGCCGTATGATTCCATGCGGTAACCCAACCCATCCGCCCCGTTCTTATCGCCAACCAGCCAACCAACGATAAAAACCCTCAATCCCCCGACAGGGCAAACCACAGATCCGCGAAGGACCCGGGCGCAACTCCCCCCCATCATAAAGTTAACCGTTCCAGATCGTTCCACTCTCAAAAAATATCCTCACCTCGTTGTTCTACACGACCTCATCCACAATTGCGGACCAAAAAGGACCCGACATCACCCCTCTCGCTTACATAACGACCATCCCATCAACCGCAACAATCATCAAAATTGGCCGCCACACAACCACCACCACCACCACCACCACCATCGCCAAAACAACATGCTTCCCCCGAGAGCCCTCCTCCTCCCCGCTGTGCGGCGCTACCGCTGCCGCTACATGTCCAGCAGCAGCAGCGGTCACAGCCATTATGACCCACCGAGCGGGTGGTTCCTGAACGTTCCGCCGGGCGAAAAGCCCGTGAAGGAGGGGTGGGAGAATGTTTTCTACTGGGGCTTCCTTGGAGGCTTGTTTGCTGCGGGCGTCGCCTATGCGTATAAGCCTGATACTTCGTATGTTTTTTTCTTTCCTTCTCCCCGTTTGCTTGGATGGGTGGATGGGGGCTGATGATTTCTAAATCTAGTATTCAGACGTGGGCGCTTGAAGAAGCTAGGAGGAGGTTAGAGGCTGAGGGTATTTTGGAGGATCCGTCGAGTACGGAGGTTCCGAAGCATGAGATTAGGACTGTGTCCGGGCTTGGGCGTGGGGAGAAGGCCTAAGGGGAGTGCGTTCGAGGGAGGTTGGTGTTGAATACCGGTAGATGGGTTGGTGGACGGGGGATGTGTAACTATTTGGTTGGGATTTTTTCTTCTTTTTTTCCTTCAAGTTTTCATTTTCTTACTAAACCACCTTTTATCCTGCGATGGCGGGGACTCAATTGCATGGTATTTTTCTGTTGTAGTTTTTTTCTTTTTCTTTTTTCCTCCGTTCCTCCGATGGATTGCTGGATTGTGGATGGATTGGTTAGACTGGGCAGGGGATTGCGGTGTGGCGATTTCTTCTGTAAAAAGGGATGAAAACACAAGAAGAAAAAAAAGGAGATAATATTATATCCTCTCTATTTGAGCGAGCATGAATGCTTTCCCGGAATAATAGCTACAGCACCTTACGTCAAAGGAGAAACAAAGGGTGAACAGAAGGGAAAACAGGAAGAAGGGGAAAGGGGGTAAGAATCTAGTTTCCCTCAGCACCCCACTCCGGAACTGAAGGAAACAAAACGGAAGAAGTATATATGAAAAAAAGGTATCTATCTATCTAGATTAAATTAGAGTTTGTGTTCGGGAATAACATAACTATCGAGGTATTCGTCAGCCTAATTATCGTGTCAAAGTTGAAGATGGATGGGTGGGGGAAACCAGCCTCCACTCGCTCTCCACATCTCCATACTGCCTCTCCTCCATCCACTTCCATAATCTCTCGGCAAGGGCGCCCGCTTCCTTACCCTCCTGCAAGGGTATCATGATATCCCTAGGTGTACCGCCAATGCCGCCATCCCAGGCAATGCGCCTAATCGGTGATACAACCGCTGCGGTCCCACTCCCGAAGGCCTCTACCAACCTTCCTTCGTCCGCAGCCTTAGCCATCTCCCCGATAGTGAATTTGCGCTCGCTAACCTCCCAACCCTCCTTAGTGAGGTGTTCCCTCGCAAGCGCAAGGATGCAGTCTCTGGTGATGCCTTCGAGAATAGTTCCGTCCAAAGGAGCGGTAACAATTTCCTTCCTGCCTTCGGGGGTGATCCATGCGGTGAAGAGATTCATTGTCCCCACTTCGGTGACGTACCCTTCCTCGCCAAAGAGCCAAAGGTTTTGGTGGAAGCCTCGAGACGCAGCGTCAAGCTGGGGAACGATGCAGGGCGCATAATTCCCGCCGAGCTTCATGTCCCCAACACCGCCGGGCCAGGCGCGGATGTAACGGCTGGTCGCCTCCAGACTGACTGCTTTGAATCCGGTAGGATAATACGGGCCCACCGGGGAAGCGATAACAAATAGCAATGCACTCCCTGGTGACCCGACACCCAAAGTGCTCTGGGTTCCAATCATGGTAGGTCTGAGGTAGAGGGAATAGCCCCGCTTGTCCGGAATGAACCGTTGCTCCAAGTTGACAAACGTAGCAAGACATTTGGTCATTTCCTCGACAGAGAATGCCGGAAGAGCAATACGAACGGAAGATTTATTCAAGCGCCGCATATTGTTATGAGGGCGGAAGATGCGGATACTGGGCTTTCCATTCACGTTGGAGCGATAGGCCTTCATTCCTTCAAAGCATTCGAAACCATAGTGAAAAACACAGGTTGCAGGGTCGAGGGAGAGGTTTTGATACGGAATTATCCTAGGAGCAGCCCAGCCAGATCGAGCTGTCCATTCGATAGATAGCATGTGGTCTATGTTCCGTACCGTAAGTTTTATTCATCGATTTCGTAGTGGGGAAAGCGGGGATACCGGTGAAGTTGCGCCCGAAGATAAGGTCCTCCGGTTTCTTCAGAGCCTTTGGTGTTTGGGTGCGGGTAATGGTCAATTTTGAGGCATCAATGTCGGGGAGCCCAGCTTGAGTGCTATAGGCCCTCAAAGCCTGTGGGGTACGAATCACTCGGAGGAGGGAGGAGCGGAGCATTCTGTAGGATGCCTGGAGACGAGCGGAGAGGAAGGGGGGCGGGGAGTGGAAGGTAGAGGGGGGAGAGGGGAGGGGGAGGGGTAGTATACCGTAGGGCTGGGTTATCAATTGGAGTCGGAAGGCGGAAACCAGTGACGGGGGGGGGGTAAAAGATATATCCTTGTTCTACTCGCGATACACCAGCGGTGTAAGAAAAAAAAAGGAAAAACCAGTATTTAATATAAGCAAAAGACAAGAAACAATTTTACTCGAGTACCTGTATAGCACTATACAGGAGGTTTTTGAACTCCTGGCTTCTGCATTGAATCTTATTGTGATTATTATTGTGTAAGTCTGAAGGAGGATTCTGAATTTTGCTCTCCTGTTTTGAGTACCTCAACACGGGGTAAGTTACAGTACGATACAGTGCGGTACCGCGCAGGTACCCGTACAGTACTGTACTGTACTCGAGTATATGGAAAGAGGGAAAAGAGAGAAGACAGGCATAAAGCTAGTCTTGACACCGTTAACCCCCTGTCCACGGCAATCTCTTCTCATAGCCCGGGGGGATCTAATCGGATCGCACGATTGCGGCACCGGAAATGTGCCTTGACTCCGAATGAAATTGCTCCGACCATGCTGTCAGTGGGGCTCCCTGGAAAACATTTTTGCGGGCCTTGGCAGTACGGCGCTGCACTTCTGCCCGAATCCCGTTGATTCATTATGAGTGGAGTGGTGGATAACATACAGTATGTGGTTGGGTGGGAGGGTCAGGTGACCCGGCTCTGGACCTCGGATCCACTCTTTTAAGCCTCACCATCACTCTGGCTTCACTACAATAAGGTTATGATAGTGATAAGCTTTACCGCAATTATTCCCAGATGTACCCTTTCTCCCTTCTCCATGCCATTTAATTCTCACGGTGAGCGCTGTTTTGGGCATTCATAGCTGTCGGACGCGGAAGCGCCCATGTCGATACCGTGTCCAGCTTGGGTGTCTGCTTGCTCAGCTCAGCCTCCCTTTCCTCCTTTAATACGGGTACAAGTATCACCTGTTGCTGTACCACCTGGGATTTCATCCTTCCTCATCCTTCAACAGAGAGCTTCGCTTTAGCTTTCTCCCCCGAGGAGATAGAGAGTAGCGACACAAAATGTTCTCGAACGCCCTGAAATCGTTCACCTCGAACATAACATCAAATTACACACTTTCACCTTCCCCGACCGGCCATTCAGGGCCTTGGAAAATTTATGACGCAAAAAAGAAGAAAAATCCGAATCAGGCGGTTAGTGTCTTTGTTTTCGAACGAAAGTCTCTTGATTCAGGCGGATCTTCCGGCGGGCTCTCTCTTCGCGGCTCGACTTCCAAAGATGGCTTGAGGGCGGCCCAGGACGAAGCGGTCGACCGATTGAGGAAGGGCACAAGCCTGCTTGCCCGCCTACGACATCCCTCTATCCTCGAGCTTGTGGAGCCGGTGGAGGAGACGAGAGGTGGTGGGTTGATGTTTGCAACGGAACCGGTTATGACGAGTTTGGCGGTCCTGCTGGCTGAGAAGGATGAGGAGGAGCGGAGCAGCGGGGGGAGATATGTTGTCGATGATGGGAACGGCGGGCGGAGGAGGCGAGAAGTCGAGATCGATGAGCTGGAAATTCAGAAGGGGCTATTACAGGTTGCAAAAGGGTTGGAATTTCTACATGAGAGCGCTGCACTTATACACGGGAATCTGACACCAGAAAGCGTAATGCTCAACGTCAAGGTTAGTCCCCTTGTTCTAAATCTAGTGGATAGGTTGGGGAGCACTGCCATCCGTGAAGTTTCACAGCTTTCGTCGCTTTAGCGATTGTAGCTAACTTGTTGTAGTCCGACTGGAAACTCACTTCCTTCTCATTCACAGTGACATCTGCCAGTCCTCCGCTCCCAGCACCCTATGACCCTCGTCTACCGCCATTTGTCCAGTTATCACTCGACTACGCATCCCCGGACCTCATACTTGATCAGGATTTGACACCCTCTACAGATCTGTTCTCCTTGGGTCTGCTGATTGTAGCGCTGTATAATTACCCGCACCGCTCGCCTTTAGAGACACATCATGCGGCGCCAACATATCGCAGATTGCTGGCTTCCACCTCCACTACACCAAATAGTGGAAACAACTACCTATCTTCTCGTCCACTCCCACGGCCGCTTGTTGAGACGCTCCTCTCCAGACTGCTAACAAGACGGCCGGCTAGTAGAGTCACAGCGCGCGAATTTCAGCAGAGTCCTTATTTCGACAATATACTTGTCTCGACGCTGCGATTTTTGGAAAGCCTTCCAGCCAAAACTCCATCTGAGAAATCGGCCTTCATGCGTGGGTTACCGAAAGTGCTTCCGCAATTCCCCCGGAGTGTTCTCGAGAAGAAAATCCTTCCAGGACTTGTCGAGGAACTCCGCGACGGTTCAATGCTAGCTCTAGTTCTCCCAAACATATTTTTAATTGCGGAGAACGCTAGTGCAAGGTTATTCTCCGAGAAGGTGCTCCCCAGACTTAAGGAAGTCTTCTTAATTCACGTCCCGAGCGCGACAGAGCCTAAGACCGCTGCTGCAAAGGTCGCTGAACGGGAGAGGGAGACTGGGCGTGAAGGCGGGCTAACAGTGCTACTATCAAACTTGAACATTATTAAGGATAAGACTACTGCAAAGGAGTTTAAAGAGGATATACTACCGGTACATCACGCAGCACTCGAGTCGCCAACTCATGCCTTGCAAGATCTAGCCCTTCGCTCCATTCCAACACTCCTGCCAAAGCTTGACTTCCCAACTCTAAAAAACGATGTGTTCCCCGCTGTTGCTGCTGTGTTCACAAAGACCTCATCCCTCGGGATTAAGATTCGTGGGCTGGAAGCATTCAAAGTGCTTTGTTCGCCAGCCGCTGCCGCAACCTCGGACGCACCAGAATTAGACAAATATACCATCCAGGAGAAGCTTATCCCGCTATTGCGTGGAATCAAAACCAAGGAACCAGCCGTCAGTATGGCGGCACTAGACGTGTTCAAGGTCATTGGCAAGACGTGCGATAGGGAGGTCGTAGCCATGGAGATTCTCCCATGTCTCTGGAGTATGAGTTTTGGGCCCCTATTAGGTGTAGAGCAGTTCACGGCATTTATGGAGGTTGTGCGGCAAGTTAGTTCCAGGATTGAGGCAGAACAGATACGGAAGTTGCGGGAGCTCAGGACCGAAGGCGAGAGTGGTTCTGGTGCGGGTGACATTTTAAGCTTCGGGGGGATGCCCGGCATGAGTTCAGGAATCACCGGGGGTGGTGGGGACGACAACTTTGAAAATCTGGTTTTCGGAAGGGGAGGCGGGAGTAAGTCTCCGCCAGTTAATAACGGTGGTTTCGATGCCCCGTGGAATAGCACGAATGCAAGCGGGGGTGGCACAATCGCGGCACAAGGGCTCGAGCCAAGGTTCAGTTGGTCTAGTCCTTCCTCGACGACGAATCTCCATTCCTCCTCCTCGTTCTCAGGAGGGGTATTACAGCCTCAGCAGCAGCAGACTCGGACAATGACCCCAGAAGCTAAAACGAGCTTCCAACCTCTGACCCCAACCTCTGCATCTCATTCCACCACCTCGAATTCGATGAACACAAATGCGTTCTCCAACCTTAACCTGGGTTCGGGTTTCGGGAGCACGACGTCTCTACGCCCTCAACCTTCCCACTCACAGAGCGCTAGTAATACAAGTTCCAGTGGTGGTGGCATAGATTGGTCCGCAGCAGCAGCAAGACGGAGCTTCCATTCAACAACTTCGAACACAAACGCCCAAGCCAGCAGTCTCTGGAACACCCCGCCATTAAAGCCCACACAATCACCCTCAGGCGACGGCTTCAAGCCACCCGTCCAACAAAATCAACAGCAGAGCCACCCTACAATTCTTTACGGTCAGACAAGGCAACAACCTGCGCCAACCACATCAACCGGGGCATTCTCTGGCTTTATGATACCGCCACCGCCGGGAGCCGGCACAAGTAATGCAGGAGGGGGAACGTCTGGAGGAGGGTTTACATTGACACTACCTGCCAGCATGAATAAGAAGAGTACAGAGAAGAAAGGCTTAGACGCCTACGAGAGTTTACTATGATTTGTTCTACCTTCCCTTTCCCTTTTTTGTATCCTTTTCTTTTTTGTATGAAAAGTTATTTTATTTCCTGTAGGGTTTAGTAGTAGGTATAGATTGGCCGGAGTACTCATTGATAAGTAGCTTAATTTTCAAGCAAGCAAGCGACAAAACATGTCACACCATACCTGCAGGTGCTTCTTTTCCTTCTTCTTCTATCATACCTCGTAGCAAGCTCTACGCCTGCACGGGGCACAGGGTAGATAGGGGCGCGGCTAGGTGTAGGGAGAGTGATACGTGGTGAGCGGGGGTGGCTTACCACCTGGATCTTTCTTCTATCGTACTCTTGGATCACCGGGCGCCCCCCTCCGCACCTACCTAGTCCATTATCTTACCCTCTTGGGCATTGAGTCCGGTAACGAGCCCCATAGGTGGCCTATCACAAAATATCCACCCTATCAGCCCCCCCACGATCTAATCCTAGAAAGTACTTAGCTCCCCAAAACCCCACCAGACCCCCCCTCCTCCAATAACGCCGCAACCTATATCTCCGATTCCCATTCATACCCATAACCAACGACCGGCCCAACCCCCGCGTTTCATAATTCAGCGCCAACAATGCCTGGTCCAAGACCGGATGCGGGCACGAGGCCGATCCAGCAGCGCGCGGCGGGGTTGATGATGCCGGGACAGCCCGCACCGACTTGGCGAAAGCGAGATTGTGCGCTTAGGATCTAGTACCGGTATGGTACAGGCGGAGGAGGAGTGGGCGAACACGATGCGTGCCGCTATTGTTGGTGTTCTTTCGGCGGCCATGTATCATGGTTGCCCCCAGATCGCGGAGGCGGCGGAGGGCACGGCAACGAAGACTGCGGTTCACGGGCTCAACCGTATTCGCCGCTGCCCATCCACCCATCCACACCCTCATAGGTTCCTTCCTCCCTCCCTCCCTCCCTCCCTCCCTCTCGCTGCCTCGGACTACCGTAGCTTAACCCCTCGCATTAATTCCCTCTCTTAGTGAACTCGTGTCATATAATCCTAGTCTCCAATGTAAAGGTTCAAGTTCTTTACCGTTAAATAGTATCATTGCACACTTTTGCTGGGTGGGAGGTTTACCGCGCAGCACAATACCGGGGTCCGGGGGAGGGGGGGGTCTTTATGGTGCATTGTATGAGCATGAGTTCCTCGGTCTGGAAGATGGCCGTGGCACAGTACAGTACTGTACAGTTGTCTAGTCTTCATGGGGTACGATTCGTCTGATACCGCAGCCAAGCGGGGTACAGCACAGTACCCTGCCGGTGACAAGAGCCGGTATGGGAGAAACAACATGCAGGATAGAGAGAAGGAAGGGTTCTGCACCCAAGTGAAGCGCTGTCACAGCACGGTACTGTACAATATCATACATACTTTAAAACAGACAGTCTAATCTACCCCACACTCACCCCACCCAATCCAACTGCGATCCGCACTTTGCCAAGCCCCTGTCTCCCCCACATCTTAGCTGCCTTTTGGAGCTGGTAAGCTACCGTGTCGTCTTTTCACCGCTATCGCCCCCATCGCCGTTTTCTTCCTTCCTTCCTCCTCCTTCCGCTTATCGGGGTACAAGTCTCTCAGAGTTTATGCATATATCGTGACGGTGTCAGCACGGCCCACAAGTACCCCACGAGTTAGTCCGATACCAGCACGAGCAAAAGTGGGCTTTCAGCTGTTGCCAGCTTATTGTATGATATTGTATCGTATTGTATGATACGAGTATCGCGGTGGATACATATACCAGTACCGCACAATACCATACCATACCATTATCACTACCTCACGATGAGTAAACCCTCACAACATGGTCCCGTTCCCCTCCCCCCCTTCCTCCGGAAAATAGCCCACAGCTAATATCATACCAACAGACCCCTCAAACCTAGGCCCCATCGCCGCCCCCGTCTCCCTCGGCGCCACATGCTCAAGGCCCTACCGCAGGCAAACACGTAAACCCCAAACCCTCGACTCCTGGGAAGACGCATCCACCTCATCTTCCTCGGATGACGAAGCTAACCATCCCTCCCCGCCACCACCGACGCCAACAACACCCCTCACTCAGACGCATACCAGGAATTCATCTTCAGTGTCCTCGATCGCTTCCTCGCGCGAGACCGGTGCCCCCGCCGTCGCGGGTGCGGCAGCGGGGGAAAGGCCGACAACGACGGATGCCGTCGCCCGAAGGATGATTTCCGCCGCCTTGGGCGTTAGGGCTAAGAGTACCAAGGAGCAGCGCGAGTACGACACGGCGGTGAAGGCCGCGGAGCGGAAGAAGAGGGAGGGGGAGAGGGAAAGGAGTAGGCTTGAAGAGGAGGAGAGAGAGAGGGTTAGGAGGGGGATTTGGGAGGATTAGATTGGAAGGGGGGCGTATTTTGGTCTGGAGAGTTTTTGGTTATCATTAGTTTTTTTCTTCCCTTTTTCTCTTTCTTTTTCTTCCTGGGAGGGGGGGTTATTGAATGTTATGAAAAACATTGTACGAGAACAAGATATGTACGAGTACAGTATAATACTAGTACAGTACAAGACATACACACTCTTCCCCCCCGCCCCCCCGCCCTTCCATTCCTATAATTATCCCCGGAACAAGCCCAAATATCATACTGCAAGACATCCAGTCGACATTATTATAATCCAATCCCCACCAATCGCTCACCGACACCCCATCCCACACGAGTCCCCGACATGCCCTCTACCATACTCGTATGATATTGTACAAGCACCAGCACCAAAAAGCCAGTAATTCAAACCTACTACATCTTAAAGCCGCCAAGACCCCAACATCGCCAGAGTATACTACGATACCGTACAGACATCCCAAAAATGAGATAGCAATATCAATTTGTGAATACCGGAAGGTGAAAAAAAGAAAAAAAAAAGCCCAAGGAAACCCTCTCAAATGCACCGGCAAATTCAAAAGTTGGCTTTCAAATCTTTATCTCTCTAGTGATTGAAGGGTGGTGTTACCGGTATTACCATGAACATCACTACTATAACACGGCACGGCACTAATATAGAAAGCGTACGGTACTGTACTGTACTGTAAGAGGGTACCGTACCACAAGTTACGATATATAACATCACATCAAATAATCACCCCGTGAGAAAAAAGAAAAAAGAAAAAAAAGGAAAAATGAGAAAATAACGACAAGAATGGGGTTATTTTCCCTTTTTTGTTTCTCTCTTTTTTTTTCTTTTTTTCTTTTTCGGATGGTGTGTTTTTTGGGCTGCTGTTTGATAGTACGATACGGCCCCGCGAGCTGTGCTAAATCACACGGTGTGATTCGGGGGGGGTGAATGGGATCCCGGAGTGCTTGGGACTTGTGTTCATTCTACTGTACGGCTGCGTGTGGCTGAATAGGGTTGCAGGTTGTGCTCTGACGGTACTGTACTCTACAGTACGGTACGGTAGCGCTCGGTTGGTGAGAAGGCGAGGACTTTGCCGTCGTTTTCTTTTTCCCATCCCCTTTCTTTCCCTTACGCTGTGTTTTCGTCGACATTGAGGAGTTCTATTCTTTTTTGTCCCTCCTTCCTCCACATCAATTGCCCGACTACCGGTACCATAATATATGATAGTGGGTAGATACAGCGGTTGGCAATAATGGCGAGTTCGTACAAGCTTAAGCTAGCAATAGTAACCCGCCCCTCTCCCCTCCTCCTCTCTTCCCAACTAACCTTCCTTCCATTTCTCCAGGTCCTCCTGACAGCCTTAGCCTATCTCTACAAATCCGTGACCAAGCGCAGCCCACTCTACCTCCTCGCCCGGCCCCCTCCCCTCCACCCTTCAATCTCCGATGGCTGCAGCAAGAACTTTCCAGAGCTCTTACAAAACTGCGAGGACTTCTCCGTCCTCCCAAACACAACCCTACTGTTCCTCTCGTGCGACCGCTCGCGTCGAGAGTGGTACCACGTCTTCCGCGCTTTCCCCCCGGACGCGCCGAAGGGCGAGATATTCCTGTGGGACTATGGCAAGCCGGAAGTGAAGCCGGCGCTGTTGTCTGGAGCGGAGAGCCTGGGTGTCGATTTCCACCCTTTGGGACTTAGCGCTGTGATGAGGGAAGAGGGGGATGAGGTGAGGTTATTCGTGACGAATCAGGCCAAGGAGAAGGCTAGGATCGAAGTACTCGACGTGAACTTGGAAACCAAGACTGCGCGACACAAGCGCAGTCTGACGGACGTGAAGATATTCTCCCCGAATGGCATAGTCGGCGTCGACGAGAGCTCATTCTTCATCACGAACGACGGTTTCTTCTCCAGAAGGTGGAGCACAGCGCTGCTGTTCGAAGTCATCCTTGGCGCGCCGGGGGGGCAGGTCGTGCACGTCTCCATCCCCCCACCAGCTTCCGCGGTAGACGAGGACTCGGTGAACGCTTACAGCGTCGCTTGGATTTCACTTGCGAACGGCCTCGCGCTCGACCATGCCAAGCAGAAATTGCACATTGCCAGCAGTACGCACGGTGTCTACACCTATTCAATCCCCGATATGGCGCACCCGTACCTCGCCGTCCCGGAGTCGTTCCGTCGTACGCCCTTCGCAGCGGATAATCTGCACTTGGGCCCCACTGGCCGCCTGTTCGTCAGTGGGATATCCTCGCTCGGTGACTTTGCGACGAGTATGCTCTCCGAGGGAAAGGTGGGACCCCCGGCATGGACTGCGGAGTTGCTGTCGGAGGTGGATCCTAGCGATAAGAGAGAGGCAGCGCTACGAGGGTTGGATCCGGCCAATAGTCCACTCAGGAAGGAAGAGTGGGTATGGAGGAGTGTATATTTGGATGATGGCAAGTTCTTTGGCGGGATTAGTACCGGAGGCGTGGTGGACATGAAGGGGACGTTTGTCGGCGTCAGTGTTGTGGGGAGGGGGGTCTTGGTTTGCGAGAAGGTTATTGAGAGGCCGGGAGTGCTTGTTGGGAAGGAGGGGGAGGAGAGGAAGACAAGGGAGGAGCTGTAGTTCCCTGTTTGGTTTTCTTGCAAGTTGAATGTATCTTATGTGAGGGGAGAGAGAGAGAGGATTGCCAGCTAGAGTGCACTGCCTTAAAATTGCGCTACTCACAATGAGTCGAGGACCCCACTATTCCTCTCCCTTGCTCAAAGACGAAGGAATCCTCTACATCCACAATGTATAACATAATTTCCTGATATCGTACGTGGACAGTGATCCAACAATGGCATCAGCCCACGATAATTTCCACAACCAAAATCCAACCCCTTGCTCCCCCCATAAAACGCCATTCATCACCATTCCCAGCCCGGATATCGCCACAATACGTCCTACCATAAACAATTAAACAATTTGCTATGCCATCCAAATTGCCTCCTCCGCTACAGTAAAATCTAACGCCCCATTCGTTCCCTGAGCCCCCCCCCCAGAGCTAATCGATTCCCCTTTTGCTGCGATTTTCGCATCTTTTCCAGAGAAGGTAACTTTCCACTACCCAGCACAAGGCTCAATTACTTGGGATTCTACGCCATCACAATCACGTCACGCCTCCTCACTGCTCAATTGCGTTGGGCCCCCAAATGGTATTTCATGCAAACAGCACAAACTGGTTGAAAATGAAACCTGAACAAAGCCCTCTCTAAGGAGCCTTATAGTACTTTGTCTCTACAAAGGGCATTTTTGTCACAATCCCGCTATGTTTCTTTCCACGGACCTTGATACCAACTTCGGTAGCCCTCTTGTGGAACCCGCTCCTAACGTAGCCCATAGCAATGTTCTTGCCAAGTGTCGGGGAGGGGCAGCCAGATGTTATTTTACCTGTAGTTTCTAGTGTCAGAATTTCAAAGAGGGAGGTGAAGGAAATGGAGAGGGGGTATTACCAATAACGTTATCCGTTCCCCTCTCTACAATCTCCGCACCCTCTCTGGCTGGTGCACCCTCAACAAGAAAGCCAACCCTGCGCCTAGGGACAATGCTCCAGCTGTCGTATTGTCCGCTGATTGTTTCTGCCCCGAGGAAATTGCTAACCCACGGTTAGTATTTGGTGAATTAGTTTACCTCTGGAAAACCCACCCGTCCATAGCTCTCGTCTTCCCTACCACCCACTTAAGTCCCGCCTCGATTGGTGTGGTAGTATCATCTAGATCATGCCCATATAGACACATTCCTGCCTCAAGCCTAAGACTATCTCTAGCTCCCAGACCCGAAAGTCTAATCCTACCACCGATAGATCCCACATCCAACAACCCCGTGGTAACAGTCTCAGTATTCTTCTCAGAAATGGAAATCTCGAACCCGTCCTCTCCGGTATATCCCGCACGTACAACATGTAGCTTCTCACCGAGAGATGGGATCTCGACAAACATTGAGGCGCCAAAGTACAGTTTTGAAAGATCAACCGGGGAGCCGGTCAGGCCGCTAAGGTACTCCGTCAAGATATCCTTTGCCAAAGGTCCTTGCAGGGCGACCAAGCCTTGTCCAGTGAGAACTTCATGCTTAACATCTGAAGCGAAAGGTTTCATGTTCCTGGCGATGTACGCAAGATCCTTATCTTTGCACGCAGCATTAGTGACGAGGTAGAAACCGTCCGGCCCATGCGAAGTGATAATCAAATCATCCACAATCCCACCAGTAACCGGGTGCAAAAACACCGAGAGCGTAGACCGAAACTGCGGCAGGCGCGTGAGGTCCGAGGGGGTGACAGAGTGTAGGAAAGGCAACGCTCCAGGGCCGGTCAAACTATAGGATTGCACTCCATTAGCTCTCGGAATCCACGCAAATCCCGGTTGGATAGCAATGATTGGAAACAAACCGGTGCTGGACCATATGGGAAACATCAAACAGCCCCGCCTTCTCCCTAACCCAATTATGACTCTCCCCCACACTCTCATCGGAGTAAAGCACGGGCATGAAGTACCCTGCGAAGGGCACCATCTTCGCTCCCCTAGCAACATGAAGGTCGTAGAGCGGAGTCCTTGCAAGAGTTCTAGGAGCAGCACTACTATAGAACCTCGAGAAGGCATTGAGCCTCGAATTGACCGCAACCCGAAGAGCTGAGGCCAGTCTGGTGGTACGCGGGAGCAACATCGCGATGAATCGACCTGGGCGTGGGTGGGGAGGAAGAAGATGATGATGAATGGTTTGGCTCCCCCTCCCGGTATGTCGGCCGGCGGAGGCAGGAAAGTTGCAAGTGCTCCGACGAAAATTGCCGGTATCGACAAGGGCACGTGATTAACGGTTTACCCCGAGTAACCGCGATTCCGAACCAGCTGGGGCATTCGAGAGAGTAGCCCGGTTTCTGATGATCTTTGTTCTAATAGACGAGCAGAGATCTGCCATGTATTCGGTGGGGTGTTGCTTTCGGGAACAGTTGGCGGCTGTGAGGTGATCGAAACAGGGCTCACAATATCTCACTCGGGTTTTCCCGGATTCTGCGATACAACAAGTCTCTGAGAATGTGAACCAACTTACACCGCGAGATTGAGCAAGCAACCCGTGTAGAAGAATCTCCACCTGCAGGCACTTATCGGGTTTACCGTGCGAGCCATGCAGGGCCTCAAACCGGTGCCCCGTCCCTATAACGTGGGAAACGATCCAGATTCTAATCACAGGGCAACCGTCACGCACAGGATCACGCTACAGTAACGCAAATCTCGCGAGGCAGCCTCAAATAACCCACGCGCCATCATAATAAACCGAAAACTTGGTCGCGTGTACTACGTAGCGTTTATCGAGTGATGGTTCATGATAGGATCCGACTTTCATATCTTCTTGGTAGCCAAGAGTGGATAACGGATAACAATTCTCTGCGCATGAATTCTACCCTTAGCCCTTCCCCCCAACTGATTTGAAGAAAGAAAAACTAAAAGGAAACTGAAAATTGAGCACCCCAAGACATAAGAGACCAACAAATAGCGCACCCGACAAAGAAAAATAAAATAATGGCTAGTAATAACAGAAATCAAACGAAAGGAAAAAAAAAAATAATCACTCATAGGTTTCTCTTCTTGGCTTTTCCATTTCCTCGAGGAGGAAAAAAGGCTATCGTGCCCAAGTTCCGAAATGCTCGCTAGTATCGTGTTGTGTTTGTCGTGTATGTATAAGATTAGGCTCCTTTCATAGCACAACTTCCCGCCCCCTTTGTCCACCCACTGCTTGAGATAAGAAAAGAGTATAGAAACCCCTACAAACAACATGAATTATAGGTGCACTTCCACACAGTGAACCAAAGCCAGAAGAAAAACGGAAAAAAAATAAAATAGCAAACTGCGAAGCCATTCAAAGAATCAAGTCCCCCTAACCCTCTCCTTATCCCGTCTGTACCGCGAGTATCCGAATTGTCGATTGGCTGAACCTTCCGATGCGAGCGAGATTCGCTAGAGGTTCAGGCGGCTTACGAGTTGAAGTGGCGATTTTTTTTCAAAAGGAGGATCCACCTCCGATTTGCTCTTGGTGAACTTCAAGGGTGTCCCCATCTTGCATATCGAGCTACATGTCCATTAGCGGGGTGCCGGTAATATCGGGTATAACAAGGAGACAGCGGTGTGGGGTAAATTAGAGAAGGGTGTGTGATCCAACAAGAATCAATGATCTCGGAGACCGGAGGACAAGGGGGCAAATGGCTGATGAGAGGAAAGAAAAAAGAGTAAAATCAAGGAATCTCAAAAAATTGCCCCCCGTCTCAGGACGATGATAGGGTCGCTATGGGGATGGAGGTGTGTATAATAAGGGATACGGGAGAAAAACCGGGGCAAGAGAGGGTAAGGTAAATAGGAGCAAATTTTAAGCAAAAAAAGACCTACACTCTCGGGCGAATCCCCACCCTGAACGCGAGTTCCGTCGAAGAGGAATCTCACAGAATTGGGAGACTTCCCCTGACGATCGCAAAAAGCATCCATCAACTTTTTGAGCTGAGTGGTTCTCTTGATCTTGAAAAAAACCTCATTGTTGCCATCGGTAACCTTGATATTCAGGTGCTCGCTGGCGGGTTCCTCCGGCTTGGGGTCGTTTGGTGCATCCGTCGACATGATTTGAAGCGTGCTCGTGTAAAGTTTGGGGGTTGGCGTGAGGGATTGGTGGAGCGAGGTCAGGTTCCGCGAGAGTTTAAGGTGAGCAAAGATTGTGGAGGAGCGGAGGATGAAGGCGGAGGGGAGAGAGGGTTGGACGAGTCTAGTGGTTGGTTGTGGGAAGGTTTTGACTTAGTCAGATTTGCGGGAGGGGAGGGGGGTGAGGGTTGGAACTGGGTTGCTCTTCTTTGAGGCTGATCCCGAGATGGCTTACCACCAGACAGGCGAGCTGGGATGAGGGAGCCTATGCTGTACTCGTACTCGTACACTTGTGATATGATACTGTACTGATTGATTCCTGCCTGATGCCACAGATTTCTTGGGGATCTCTGCTCGTTTGTACCATGAACCCAGTGCATTGTACCAGTACACAGATCGTATGCAAGGATAGCGTGCGATATCGTACAAGACTCTATCAAGATTGTTGTACCGGTGCAGACTTTGATTTGTACGAAGACATGCAGTGCACTTCCTGTACCGGCATCATTGCCATCGTACCCATATCTCGCCAACTCGGGCTGTGTAGGGGATGACAATTGGGCCTTCCCCCGCCGTGCCGGGGTTGTACGGATTTTAGGTGCGTTCCGTTCCTGCCCAGTTCTCCCATCGCCTGTCATGATGATGACTTCATCGTTCCTCGAGACCCTCCCCCCCCGTCCCCTGCACCACAAATAAAGCCCATCTCCCTTCCATCGATGATGGTTAGGAACAGGCCGGGAACATCTCATATCGATAAAACTATTATTTCCCAATCAATCCCCCCGGGAAAGCAATCATGGTATACTCTACATGCACGGATTGAACAGAGTGGTTATAGCTGATATCCATATCTCAAATGTCCACAGCCAACCTCAATGGAGGAAGCTCTAAAGACGGACCCACCGTGTCATCCCCGCGCCGTGAGTCACGCCCTCCCGTCCCACGCCCCACTGTGTCAGGGCTCTTACTCATGGAGGGGGGGGAACAGTGCGCTATTCAGGATTGCCTGCAGAGGAATAATTATAACGAATCCCGCTGCACAGACCTAATCGACGCCTTGTATGACTGCTGCTCCGAACTCTATAAACGAGACGGCCCCGGGGCGAATAGTACGTGTTGTCCGAAGGAGAGCCTGTTGAAGCTCAAGATCAAGCAGAGGGCGGATGAGAAGGGATCTCGGGGGGCGGAGGTTCACCAGACAAGAAGACGTTAATGCGGGAGATTTTGACATCACAAACGTGGAGACTTGCTATATGGCAGATACCATCTAGATTTGCAACATGATTGAATCCAGACAACCTTATTCATCGATGAGAGCCATCTATGTTTCATCTGGGACGAGGCTCTGAAATTTACCGGAACCTCGCGCCACAACCACGTAGTTCGAATGAAGCAAGGTGGAATAGATCTCACATGTAGCAGTTCTCTACTTATGATAACGGAACCAGCGGGTCCAACCAAGGGGAATATGCCGCCATGATATGACGCACATTCACCTTGAGGGGGGGGCAGGACTGAGCGAAAAATATCACTCCATGATACCGGTGGGCATGGGAAGACGGCCGGCGGGTTGACGAGATATTGCACGGTGAGGAACCTCTTGAACCAGGGCACCGCATGATAATAATCTACCGAATCTTGCTCCTCCCGGAGCGAAACGAGCGGATTCGCCCCATGATGCATTGGATCACTGATTCCAAGGCGATGGGAAGAGGTCGAACAAATGTGCCCTTTAGTTGTAATTACCGCATCTTTCAAATGCCATCACTGGTCTGTTGCTCATCCACCCACGATTCTCGAGCACGGTAGGATACTGTATCCCAACCAACAGATAGAACACTTCCATCGGCAAGTGGAATATCAAGATGGTGAACTAGGACGGTACAGTACTTGACCATTCACCAATCCACATCTGTATTCTGGTACGGTGCTAGATGCCCCCGCCACAAGCAAAAAATGGAAGCACGGACGAAAGGGAAACACTGGGATCAGTGGAGTTTGTTGAATACGATACACTACCTGTACCGTGCTCGTAGCCTTAGACACCAATCCAACACTTTGGGCCGGATGGGTCGTGCATGGTACCGGCAAGTTATGAGCTACGGGCAACCACACAACTCATCAATCTTCCCCACCATCATCAAAATCCGTCTCATCAGGATAATACAGACAACCCATTCGCATACTCTCGCAACCTGCATTACTCTCGCAACCTGCATCCCAAGCTGTAAGAAGGGTAAGAGTAAAAATAAATAGCTGAGTGTGCGACCCCACAAATGCTTGACCCGCAAAGTTCCTCCTTCGGGGGAAGCGAGACAGCAAGATTTCGGGGGGTAAACAAATCCTCTAAGGACACGTTGAGCACGCTGAGGGCCGGCCTTGCCAGCCGTACAAACACTGAAGGAATCAATCTGTACCGAGACTCTAATTAGTGCCTAAAAATGACATTGCGGGGGAAAGGAGTCTGGAACAGATTTCCCCAATTTATACCCAAGCTGTTGTGATGCCAAGACACAAACTGGACTAGGGCAATTTTCCCCTGGTTGTTTCCTGACTTTAAAATTTTGCCAATGGGACAAGAACAATCCGTTTGTTTTGGGGGTTGTCAGCAGCACTCTCCCGCAGAACAAAGGCTTTGTCCCTGCCGATCTTGCATCCTGCCCGGAAAGGGAAGTGATCCGCCCAGGATGGACCGTTGCAACCAACATGGAATTTCGCGACTCACAACTAGAGCAAATCAATTTGTCTCCAAGAACGCGACAACCACGGGAGGACATTCTAACCTCCAGCGACCAAAAAATATACCAACCATCGCCACAAGATGGCCCCTATGATGACGTCCAATTCCCCCACTTCGCCCTTCGGATCGCAGAAGCCAGCTTATTCCTTCAACATGCAGAACTCCCGTGGAGGCAACCTCTTCTCCGGCGCTAGACCAACAGCGGGTCCAAGGGTGCAGGTACGTGACCCTCCTTCGTGTCCGATGGAGATTGGCTCTTGTGGAAATGCTGGATTGAGTACCGGAGACGCGAGCTAGAATGCGCAATATGGGCTGACACCGTGGCTTTTTATTTCTATAGGTTCGACAAATGGAAGGAAGCTGGGATATCATGGGTGATGATGTACGTTACTTCTTGTTGCGATCTCGTACTCCTCGCGCATAACTCTCTACACCCCCCCCCCCCCACCAACACCACTGTTGGCATTTGCGGGGCTCTGCATCGCTTCACCCTTCCTCTATCTCCGCCCTGCTCCCATTCTATCTTGTGGAATTTCTAGAATTATGGCTCACGGTTTCATCGATGCAGGTAAGCGACGGAATCCGTAACGACAACGAGGACGGCGACGACTCGAGAGCTTTAATCTCCGAGGACGACGAACAAGAGGGTACCACCACCCTCCATCTTTTCCTTGATTTCCCCGCGCAGGGTATTGACGGTCGTGATAGAAACCATGCCCCACTCCCCCGGTGCCCTGGATGGCGGCATCTTCGATCAGGAGTGGCCGGAGGTCGATGCGTTCGCCATTGCACTAAGCTCCTCAAACCTCCTCCAATCCGCGGATCCCAACTCGGTACAGGCTGCAGTATCCGGCTATGACCTGATCGAGCGATTCCAGAATGTATCTGGGGCCCAGCTCGACGAGGTCAAGGCTGCGCATATGCCAGAGCTATCACACGAAAGCGCCGCTGATGTTGTGCACTGGGAGCTGGAACACCAGACTTGGGAGCTATTCGGCACCCTTTCGTCGCATAGACTTGATGGTAGGATTCGAGCACAGGAGCTACCGGCAGAGCTTGCAAACAACAAGTACACAAGTAATCAACGGCTACGACAACACCTCCGTGAAACCGATGCCAGGTTCCAGGAATGGTGTTTGATATTGCAATGGTTGTGTACATACGCTCCGGATCCGTCGGATCTCTTTGATAATATCGAGGAGATTGGTGGAAAGGGGGGATGGATGTACACCAAAGAGAGCCTGAAAGCGGAGAGACGTCTTCGCGGGAAAAAGGGGAAGGCGACTCTGGTCTTTGGTTCTCTTGGAGGCGGAAGGCCCGGCAACAAAGTCACAGAATTAGATCCTGATGCGCCCAGTAGACAGCGAAAACAGCTGGAGAATGAGGATATGGAGTCCGAGAGATTCCTTTTCCGGGCTATCTGGGTGTTTCTGCGGAAGGGAGATTTGAAGGGTGCAAAAGACCTATGCGCCGAGATGGGAGAGTTCTGGAGGGCTGCGAGTCTGGGCGGGGGAGAAGAAGCGTGGGATCCGATGGTTGACGGCCAACGATTCGACAACCAGTCGGATGAGGAAAGCATGGATATGAGTGAGAACTCTCAGGCCGAAGGAGTTACGGGCAACAGAAGGAGGGAGCTGTGGAAGAGGATGTGTTATGCTATCGCGCATCGAAGCGGTGCAGAGGAGTGGGAGAAGGCAGTCTATGGAACGCTGTGTGGAGACTTTGAAAGTGTATGTGCTCCTGAATCCCTCACTGTTTTGACAAGGGAATCATGATTAACCAAGAAAAACAAACAAAAAAACAGGTTGCTCCTATCTGTGCATCGTGGGAGGATCATCTGTTTGCCCACGTGAATTCGCTTGTCGAAGAGTACTACTCCCAGTATCTACTCCAGCATGGGAGGCTGTCTCCCACAGCTATGAGTTTCCCCGCATTTGACTCGACAGCGTTCCACTCCCGCACTGGAAGCCTCGCTGAAGACGATACCGTACTCTCTAGAATTATCGATACTCTGGCATCTTTAGACCACATTCAGGCAGAGTCTCGGGTACCGTTAAGGGTTATCCAAGGATCCTTGATGTCTCTACGCTTTCATGAACTCGTCGACGAGCTGTATCGTCAGTTACTCACCTTCCGAGACAACCCAGATTACGATCCATTGGGCGAGGAGGGTAGCATAGGCGTAGACGTTACAGACTGCCGGACACTCCGAATTGTTGTGCACATTCTACTTGTACTCCAACTTCTAAATGCTGGCTTCACCGAGGATACGCCCTACCACACACAGGCCGAGTTCTTGATTGCTGCTTATATCGAATTCCTTGCAGAGGCCGGAAAGCTAAAGCTGATACCGCTGTATGCGGGACGGCTCTCGCCTCAAAAAGCTATCGATGTCATGGGCGTGATCCTCAACAAGATTCGGGAAGAGCCGTTAAGGTTGGAACTCCTGGAGTTGATGAGGACGCACAACATCGACTACGTGGGGTGTCTGAAGAAGGGGATGGAGATCGCGTTGGGCTTGACAAAAAGCCACTACGAAAATGAGCGGCGGCATGTGGCCACATTATCTGTGACAGCGGACGAGATTCTCGAGGAGGATAACTTGTTGATCCAGGGGTTGGAGTGGTTGGTTCTTGGGGGCGACGAGCTGAAGGCTGAATCGGTAAAGTGCGCGACTGTGGTATACAAACGGTTACTGCGTGAGTAGTCTTGGTTACTATTAATTCCCTCAGAAGGATGCATTTTACTGATGGAACTCAGTTTCCGGGCGTCTGGCGGCAGCAAAGAGGGTTTCCCAGACTATCAGGAGCACTGACCTGATTCCCGAGGGTGGAGATATCAACGATTTCGCTGCCGGGGGTATGATGGAAGATGATGGGTTCAGGGGTGTGTTCGATAGCGAGGTTGATCAATGGGCTTTGGCAGTCATCATAGAAATGGAAGTGTTCATCCAAGCACTCGACGAATTGGAAGCGTGGAATGAGCTATTGGGGCAAAGGACAGAGTACGAGAGCCCCCCATCCCCCTCCTCCCAACCCCAGAACCCAGGTGGGCGTTCGGTCCTAACCATAGCAACAGGAGACACCACCCTGATCGCGCGAGGAAGGCGGCACTCAGCGAGGCTTACACCTCGACCAACCACAAGCTGGGCAAAGTGATACGATCCTGGCTAGACGAGACACTCAGCACCGTGCCCCCATTCCCTCCCCAATCTCACATAATAAAAGCATCCTCTATTGTAGCCATCCGAAACATGTACATCCCCGAGCTCACATTTGCCCTTCACGACGTCTACATCGAGGCGGGGAAACATGTGAGCAAGAACCTGTTGGGGAACACACTCGAACTGGCAACCGTTGTTGCGGATCCGAATAGGTCTGTGCTCAAGTGCTTCACCGAGACGGCGAGAGTTGAGGAGTACTTGAGGGCACTCGGACTGGCGAGTAGGAGCGTGTTGGGGGCTACTGGGGCATCCTCTGAGAAGAATGGTAGTAAAGCATTGGGGATCTGGAAGGTTAGATAATGAGATCATCACATTATACCCGACTTGTTTATCTGCGTTTTTTTGTTTTTTCTTCACTTCGTTTCTCTTCGTTTCTTCCCTGTCTCCCAGTCTCCTTTTATTTTATTTTTTTCATTTTTTCCACCTCTCCTGTCCGTGCATCTATCTACCAATAGAAATCTACATAATTTTTTTTTTTTTGCACGACCTGTGTTTTTCCCCCTTTCTAAATGATTTTGTTGTGTTCTCCCGAACCAAATGTCCCTCCCTTAGGGAGTGGGACGAAGTGAGGTGCTTTACGCCAGTTTAGTTTGTCCCTTTCATTTTTTTTTTCCCTTTTCTTCCCCCCCCTTTAACTCGTGGGGATATCGACAACAACCCGGAGTTTATTCACTTCCTCCTCTGCCATTTGCTGCATTTCCTTACTGTATCCCGCAGCCTTGCCCTGTCCACGTTCCTCCCTCGCCCAGCCCATCCACTCCCACATATGATTCGTACGTACCATACAGTCATACCAAGAACGATCCATCCAGTGAGAAGGTAAAAGAAAGAGAAGAAAAGAAAAGAAAAACATGAGTAAAGCAAAGTACCACCGAACCCTACCCATCCATCCAACCTACCTATCCCATCACACGAACCCCACAAAGCTGAACGTAATCTCCCTCACCCATCCCATCACCCCATCAACACTACATTGTACTATACCTACTACCGTACCAGTACTACCTCTCCGTCCATCCATCCGCCTGTACGGGTACAGTACTTTGTGCTTTCTTTTTCCCTTTTTCCCTTTTTCCCTTTTCTCTTTCTTTTTTCTTCCTTCCGTTTTTACCCTTTCCCCATTTGATTTCTCCACCTCCCAACGAGATCCTGTTCCTGCTCCATCCATCCTCCCATTCCACTCTGGCCAATACTTTGAGATGGCGGGGACGTATGAGAATCTCGCGATGGAGATGTGTGATGAGTGGCTGTCGGACCGGCAGCGGTGCGAATCAGAGTACGAGTAGTTATTAGTCCCTCTCCCTCCCTCCCTCTCTCGTTAGTCCGAGAGCTTGCGCGTGGGTGTGCGTGGGTGCGTTCGTAATTGGTGACCTAGCCAATTACATTCATGTTCATCTGGTTGGTTGGTCGGTCGGTCGGTCGAGGTCGGTGAGTTCTGAGAGAGAGGGAGAGAGGGAGGGTGGTGTGTCGATCGAGTGAGGGGCTATGTTCGGTTGCTTCGGAGAAGGCGTTTCGCTAACATGTATCACAAAGCCCACTCACCAGTCTAGACTATGTCATATCGTACCATACCTGTGTTTATTCCATTTATTATCGTATCGGGGGAGGGATCTTGTGGGGGTTTATCGCAGGTGATTGGATTGCCGACTCTGGGTAGGGCAACGGGGGGGGGGGGGCGCCTTGATTAATTTATCGTGGCTCGTTCTATTCATCATAACTCTGCTCGATTGTTCTTTCTCCGCTCTTTCTACGGTAGGTGCGGATTCCCTGTCGATTTATTGCTGGCTGGGTGCTTACTGTTACTGTTACTGTACTGTACTGTACTGTACTCGTACCTGCGCACGACCAGGTATGATACCGGTAAGGGCCTGTTCGGCGGGAACGGAACGGTTCCGTTCCCCCATACAAATGACTGTTTCCTTCCGTTCTGAAGATGCCAAGACAACCATTTCCCCAGCAAAAATCACCAACGAACGGAACGGTCGACCCGTCTACCGTTCCTGCCGAACAGGCCCTAAGTGGGTAAGTAAGTACCGTAAGCAAGCAAGCGAGAAAGCTATAACTTAGAGAGGCTAGCAGCAGGCAGGCAGGCAGGCAGGCACCATCCCAGCAAGGAGAAGGAAAAAAGGTCAACCCCTCACTCGCTCACTCACTTCACTCACTCCCAACACCTCCCTCACTTTCACTCCACACAGTACCATACTCGTACGATAACGGTACAGTACAAAGCACAATCCCCCCTTTCCCCCTCCCCTTCCCTCCACCTACCTACGATACCTATAATTCCCGGCGGATCCCCAACCCCCCCCCGCACAACCGAACGAACGTTAAAAAAGAATAGAAAAGAATGAGGAAGAAAAAAAAAATTCCAAATCCAAATCCAAATCCATGCGCTGGCTAGTTCCAGGGGCAACCCGTCTCAAGATATGTACGAAGTATGCGAGTGAGTGAGTGAGTACCGGTAGTTCATTTACCATACCCACCTACCGTACAGTACAGTACAGTACCGTTCATTCACTCGTTCGTCCGTTCCATCCTGTGCGCGTGGAGTACAGTACAGTACAGTACAGTACTTACGCTACCACGGATTGATCGATCGCGGGTGGACGTGACAAGGCTGGGAACGGTCAGCAACGCAAAGCAAAGTAAAGTAAAAAAGTAAAAAAATAAAATAAAGCACGAGTTCCAGATTGGTTTCGGTCGATTGCGGGAAGGTAAGGTAAGGCAAGGCAAGGTTGTGTGGGGAGGAAAGGGGAGGAAGGGGGGGGGGGGTGTTTGAAGTTTATGATGTTCTCCCTTTTTTTGTGTGTGTGCAATGATAGTGGTGTAGGGTTTTTTTTTTTTTTTTTTTTTTTTTCCTTGTCTCTTGTTACTATTTGAATTTTGGTGCTATTGTAACGTC